TAAAGCTTTTAAAGGTATACTATGCAACTGGTGTTGATTTTCCAGCAAGGCTCCCCCCAGAGGGCGAAAGTAAAAGTGCACTGTCTTAAATAGGCTCAGCTGTTCTCCTGGTTTCTCTGTCAAGCCAGGCGTGGTTGTTTTGAGCTTAGCAGACAGGTGAACGCAACGAATCACCATGTCTACTGCAGTAAGTGACTATTTTGTTTAAATTTTCGAGTTTGAAAATTTAGCATGTTTTCATACAATTATTTGTTATGCATGTGTCTAAATAACAAAGATTGTAGTTAGCCAAGCTCTCGCCGTAAAGCAAGACCGACTCTCGCGATGCACGAGACTTCTGAGCCTGTGGGTGCGGGCCGAGGGCTCCTGCAATTGCAAGTACGGTATTTCCCCTATTGACCACCAGGGCGGCCGAGAAAACCTTTGTTCGACCTGAAATGACTCATTTAATCATCCAAAATGTTATGGAACACATTAATTAACTGAAAAATGTTGCATAGTATGCCTTTAAAATTTGTGTTGAAAACCTCAAGTACCAGAATATACAATGGAATATTTTTTGTTGGCAGGTTTTAACACTTTTAGTTAATTTGGGTATTTATAAACTGTTTTGCCATAGCTCATAAAAAAAAAAAAAAAATGTTTAGTTTGGTCCTTCTACGTAGCAATTGATTCTCCTGGCTTTCTTTTAGACCTTTGGAGTTAAACCTCTTGATATGTATTTATTTTTCATTTGCAGATGTCTCTGCAGAAACTATAACAGCTTGCATGTAGTGTCTATCTCTCCCCGAAAATCAGCTTTTCTGAATGACACTCTGGTTTCCAGTGGCAAAAGTTCAGATTTCTGAACTCCGGCGTTGAACACTTAGATGCTCCTATGCTCCGACGGCAGAAGGCTTGGATGCACCGCTCCCGATGCTCGAATGCACCGCTGGACCTCTTGGCGCATCCCCCATAGGATTTGCATATAAATCCAACGCTTTGACAGCCAATACGTGTTCCGTGTGAACACACCATAAAAGAGCAGACCTCTGCAAAGCAGTAAATTTTGCCTTATACTGGGAACCTGAACATAAAACTTGCACACTATCTGGATCATTACCAAATTTTGAGAAATAGTTCAAAATGAGGCGCACCTCTTGTAGAAATTTCAGTTAAATCCATGGCCTCTTTTTTGATCAGCAGATCAAGACTTCTAGTGAAGAATGGCTCCTTTTCTCGTTTTTTGGATTTTTGTCTTCACGCGTTTGGTGTGAATGCAGCCCAAAGGTTTCCAGGGACTTTAGAACAGGAACAGGCCCACAGCATCGCTGATTGTCCACCGTACATAACAGTGGTGTGAGGCATCTTTCCTATTTTCCAGCTTTGCACCTGAATTTCCAAACTCTGAGACAATAAAGATGTCCCTTATTTTATCTTAGGGCCCTGTGACACCTTGCAGATTTAGCCAGCATATGCCCAACGTCCCTGAATCCCCTAAAACACTGGCACAAGCTGAACTTTCTGTGTTTTTTTTTTTTCAATTTTGAGCATATACAAAGCGTATTCATAACGAGTCCAGAGCGTATATCCAACGACTGCCTAAGTTATGCATAACGCAGAGCAGCATAATACCCATGATATGATGCACAAGCCAGTGTCCTGAGGGGAGCAGTGATGCACCCGGATGCAACCGGCCTGCATGAAAAGATGTATTTGATCACGGTATTAACCTAGCTGCCGTTTACTGCCCGCCCCCAAAAAAGAATCAATAAAAAGAAAAGAGAAAGAAGGTTTGCAGACACAGCAGATTCAGCATTTTGTCTGCTAGGAAGGTTGTCGGTTGTGGGCGTGAACGCAGGGAGGATTCTTAAAGCTCACCTTCTCGCTCACCCTATGATGGTGTTGAAGTCTGGAGGAGAACTGAGTTTCCTCCTGTTAACCCACTTTATAGAGAAACTCTGCCAGTACACCATTATAAAGTCGCTGCAAGTTAGAAACAAGTTCAGCGATCGTATGGAACATGTCAAATACGGTAATATACGTTGGGGATGTGTTTTTTTATAAGTTATGCAGAAGTTATGCACACCTTACTCATAGACTTTGAAAAAGCTAGACGCCACAACTTATGAGTAACACTAAATGTATGTCAACAATGGGATAACTAATGGCCCACGTATGGCATACGTACCTGCCGCATGTCGCCGTGTGCCAGCATGTTTCAGCGTACTTCAGCGTGCTCATAACTTATACAAAACGCACTCATAACTCATCCAACTGAGCCAGCGCTTTTGCCAGACTTTTCGCACGTCAGGCATACGCTGGCTAACTCGCCAAGGTGTGACTTAGTCTCATCTGACCTAAGACCATGTTCCTAGTTAATATAAAAGTGGAGTTAAGCAAACTTAGTATTACAAAATGCAGCGAACCCTGACTATAACGCGGTTCACTTTTCACTTACTCGCTCCTTCACAGATTTGCATAATGCATTGTTAAACTTTATTGTCAAACATAATTGATGGTGGCATGTCGGTTTATAAGGATCTTTTGGCCCAGAAAAAAAAAGAACGACGACAACAACTACCAATAACTTTGTTCTTCTCTCCAAAAAACACACCTGCACCGCAGGCTTTAGAAGAAAAAAACGCCACAGAGCAGAATTAGGATGCAGCGGCTCTGTCAGAACAGCAGTGAAATACTGTACTGTACACGTGAGTCACTATTTCTCCTACTGTACTTTGTATTTTTTTTTAGGGATGCACGATATTGGGATTTTGGCCGATATCCGATATGCCGATATTTTAAAACTCATGTAGCCGATAACCGATATCGATACCGATGTTAAGGCTGGACAAAAATAAGTAGTCATTGAAAATAGCAGTTTTGTTATCCATTTATGACACTTTGAAAAATAATATATTCAAATATATTTTCATATGCTGATATCAAATAGATTTTTAAAAACGCGGTATCGATCTATTTTACTTTCAAAATCTCGTGAAATTTCATCGTTCTGTTACAAACTCTCGTGATATTTTGCAAATTCTTGTGAGATTTTGTTAGTAAAATAGATCGATACCGCGTCAATATATCAACATATGAAAATATGGCAAAATTTTGTGAATTTTCGGGGGATTTCGTAGCATAACGATGACATATAGCAATATTTCATTAGTAAAAGAGATTGATATGGTGTTTTTAAATGGCAATATATCAGCATATGAAGATATTGGGATATTTTAATGTATCAATATTTTTTCCCTCGTCTTTAGAAGTTTTTAAGTCTGTAAAAAAGAAGTTTTTGAGGAAGAAGAAGAAGTACTATTTTTTTTTTTTTTTTACTTAAGAAACTCAGAAGCTGATCAAATATCGGGTTAAATATCGGTGGGGTGGCCGATGTCCAATATTCAGTTTTAAGGCCGATACAGATAGGGGGCCGATTATATCGTGCATCCCTATTTTTTTCATAATCATTTTTCATTTTCTCCCGTTCCAATCCGTCACGATGGGGTGGTGCTGATCCCCGCAATATTATCCCTTCAGTTCGTATTGATGATCAGAATTATTACTTATTTATTTATAACTATATTATTTTATTGTACAGTACAGTAGTTATTTGTAAAAAAAACCTAAAAAAAACACAACAACAAACGTTTATACCTTGCTTTTATTTGTTAAACAAATGCTTGGGCCTGTAAAAAGTTTTTGTTTCTTGATTTCAATGTTTTATGGAGTATTTCATTGTATAATAACTGTAAAAAAAATAATGGTTTCTACTTCACAGATTTCGCCTATCGCAGGTTCTTTTTGGAACGTAACCCCTGCGATAAACGAGGGTTCACTGTAAAAGGCTTTTCCTGGCATCTAATCTAAATAAAAAAAGAACAAAATAAAAGGTTGGAGTAGACACCATGTAAAGGTAGCTGGAAAAACTTGCATCCTGATCCAGTTGAGAAGCTTTTTTGTAATACAGAGATTGTTTATTAAAGGTCTGACACAGAGTAATTACAAAAATAGAAAAAGTTTATATCACCACTGATTTTTATTTAAAAAAAACTGAAAAAAAGAGACATGCTATAGAGATTAAGCCTAATTAAAAGTTGTTTTTTTCAAAGCAACCCAGTTATGATGCTGCAGTAAAAGATACATTTATTCTCAGACTCTTTTCTATATCTTTAGCACTGGTGCCAGAGGGCATGTGTGGCACTGTATGTGTGTGTTTGTGAGATAGGGAGCTTTTTGTGGGCTCAAACAGGCCGACAGCAGCAGTAAGTTGGCAGTAAGGGCAGTTGGCACAAACGTGTTCCCTCTTCAGTACAAGTGAGGGCGCTGAGCCTTGGCACACGATGAATAGATCAGCACTGGCATTGAACAAAGGGCTCAGGACACACAGAAGCACACAGTCCCTGCCCTTTATGCTGGCCTTTAGATACGAGCAGTAAATATAAAGGTTGTCGGGTAAAGAGGTGTTGACTCAGCTGTATCCGAGTTCTGTGTTGCAGAGACTTAAGACCCGATTAGTGCAACGTTCAATGTTTCAGCCTTTTCAGAGAGTCCTTTAAAATCTGATTCACAGTTAAACATGCAGTGAAGTTGCTGAACTACTTTGGCAGATTTGGAAGGGGTTGGACTGGGGAAGGAGGATGTGGGAGTGTAGGGGCTAGGAGGGCGGGGGTCTGCAGCGAAACGGCGATCGGGACGAATGGGGAGGTTCAGGCGGAATGGCAGACCTGCTGGAGCTTCGCCAAAGCTTCTCGGGAACGCTGCCACGGTCGAGAGAGGGGTGAAGAAAACGCGAGGGAGAAGAGGGGAAAGGAAAAAGCCTATGCTTGCAGTAGAGAGACTTGGCAGGGCTTCATTTCTTTTGTCTGTCTGGTTTAAGGCTACAGCACCAGAGGAAATCAGGAAACGTCCAGGCATGGTGGTTGTGGTGGTGGACGGGGATAGCTTCATCCTCTGTGGCGATAAACAAAAAAAAAGAAGCATATTCTGACTAAATCGACTGTAAACTGAACTTCAGTGAGGTGGGAAACCAAGACAAAGACGTTTTTATTTTCATTTTACAAAAGTCAGCTATGGGACCGTTGGATGTGACTGGGTCTGGGAGCAAAGTGTCTGCGATAACTAAAACTGTGGAAAGTTCTTTAACGGAAACAGAACCGATTTGACATTGGTATTTTGCTAACAACCTTTCTGAACTGGACAAGGATGAACCGCAGAGAGGCCAGCTGGAGCCAGAAACAGGCCAACCTTGCACCAAGCAAGAGGTTTGTGTGTGCTTACTGGTTTCTGTCATGGAACAAACTGCAGGGGTCATTGCTGGCGTTTTACAGAAAAGTTGACCCAATTTTAACAGGGAGAAGATAGACGTTTAAATGTTTGAATGTGATAAAGCTAGAAGAAAGAAAGCAGGCAAGGTCGGGCCAGGCTCACAAAAAATGGAAACTATGTTATAGAGGGTTTGGCCTCATAGTTTTGCAGTTCCTCACTGAAATGTTAAGGAATAAGGAAAGTAAACACCACTTCAGTCTTTCTAGAGGTTTTCCTACCTCTTTAGACCAGGCTTTTTTGACCATAAATTAAATATAAAGTGTGTGTGATGGTTTACTACAGTGGTGTGGCCATTGTCAGAGCAGGATTTCTAAAAAGTTTCTTTAAATTTTTAATTTTGACTTCCTTGGTTGATGAATCCTGAGTAGTACAGCTACCTTCCTGGCTGCTGTTTTGTACACTATGGGTCTTTGCTTGCTACATTTAAACAATATGGCTGTCATGGCTCTATGCTAGCTTTACAAATGCACCACTTTATCTGCACACATGCTGTGCTACATATACAGAGAAAAGTGCAATGGTTTGTTCTGCAATAATGGTGGATATACCATATTTTTTTATAAAATGGTATATTGCACATAAACAAGTAGTATTTCCTTGTTTATCGTTGGTTATTTCCTCAATGTGGCGAGTGGAGGTGCTAACTGAAAGAGGCATCGGTGTCATCGTCTTTAGTACCGAACAAGATTAATCGATTGTCCAACGTGAGTGGCAATTTAGCCTTAAGCAATATGCTTAGCCACCATGATGCTCGTAGGAAATAGCCTCGTGAGACCTTCCTGATCTTGCGAGCTTTCAAGATTTCACTCGCTAATCAGTGTGGAGACTCCGTTAAAGAAAATTTGGAGCCGTTCACCAAACGAACGCCCAATCAATGTTGGCTTTGAGGCGGGTTGAGGTGTGACGCAATGAGAAGCGCGACAGTTCAGTCTAAAGAACATGGCGGCTTCAGCCGATGAAACTAGCGTTAGCGTGGCAAGTTTTATCGGAATTACAGAGTATTTCTTCACTGAAAGAAGAGCAAAACACTGCTCTGGAGGCTTTTCTCAGAGGAAAAGATGTTTTTGCTCTTCTCCCGACTGGTTTCGGCAAGAGTTTCATCTATCAATTGGCTCCTCTTCATCGTCGCTCTGTTAGTACGTCATATGCTTCGTTGATCTGATTGGTTTATTTGGCCCGTCTATCACCAACATAGGTCAATCAGCTAACCAGTATTTTCGCTCCTTCCCAAAATTACTTCAACGGAAGGTTTCCAGATGGATATGCGGAGCAAATCCATCTGGCGGAGTCAGGTTACGTAGGAAATGCCTGTCGAGATAAATCCATATTTTAGGGTACAAATCGTTGTATTGTCTGTAAAAAGTGGCTTTAATGTGTCACGTTGAGTCACAGAATAACTGTGGCCTTTTCTTTTTCAAAATAAAACTTCTTCAAATTTACAAAATAAAGTCCTTTTTTAACTTTTTTGGAATGACTATGATCTGGATGACTGAGAATCTTCACCAGATCAATTAATTTGATAATGTAATATTTACCTAGAATTATCGTACACAGATCATAAGGTTATTCTTTCACTTTTTTTCTGAAAGAATTACATACGTTTATTAATAAATAACCTACTTATGTTACTAAAATACTAAGAATAAATTGATAAATTGGTTACTAAAAAATCAATTATTTATCGTTTTTTTGATTACTTTATCAATCTAAAAAGAGATACTTCACGCAAATTAACATTTCTAAAAGAACAATATTTGAAATAAAGAAAAATATCCTTTATTGCACATTTTAAACTAATTAAAAATGGCAAAACATGTAAAAAGGAAATGTTTATACACATAAAATTTTGAATAAAGAAACTATATATCTATAAATATTTTTTACTGTAGCTATAAAGTTCTATACGGAAGAGGATTAGGGCCACTGGAAAAAAAAAAAGTAAACTGATTTTTAAATTTTATTTCAGTTTAACATGGGAAAACAGTCAGAATTCTGAGATTAAAGTCAGAATTCTGATTTTTTCTCAGAATTCTGACTTTTTTCCTCAGAATTCTGACTTTTTTTCCCCATACTATACTGAAATAAAATAAAAAAAATCAGTTAACTTTTTTTTTTTTCCAGTGGCCCTAATCCTCTTCCGTAGTTCTAAGTAGGTTATTCTTTCAGAAAACTGTGTTTTAGAGTCCTTGTGCCATTACTCTACTGATCACATTTAATTAGAAAAGTGGTTTAAGATTATGATTAAAATTTTTTTTATTAATTTACAATTCATTTAAATTGCACAATAAAGGTGTTTTTTTTCTAAATTCCAACTGTTTATTAAATTGTTTTAATTTACTAATAGTTTATCTTTTTAGATTCATGAACAAAAGATAGTTTATTTTGAATTTATTTACAATTATTTATCTGTGATTCTGTGTATTCCATGTTGAGATCAAAACAGGTGAGATTTTCATGTTAATAAATAAAATGTTATGCCTTTTTTTGTCATTTTTTTATCCCATTGATAACAAATTGGGTTGAGTGGTGAATATGTTCCTGTGTTTCGATCTGAACCTTGTTACGAACTGAACCTCAAGCCAAATTAAAAGCAAATAAGTTTCCCTCTATGAGCTTTACTTTGTACTAAAACTTGCTATATGTGTCAGATCAGAGATGAAGTCCGTATCTGATATCTCACAATGAGCGGTCACTTCTGATTTTTATATATATTTATATAGTATCCAGGGCCTGGAAGTTCTCACTGCCCCAAACACACCGTGTAGAGACACATTTGTGTGTACACTTCCTTCACACACACACACACACACACACAAACCGAAAATGGACCGTCCCTCAGCGACCTACAGCTCAGCCATGACCCCGCTCTTCCTGCCCCTTAAACAGCATTATTTGAACCCTCCAAGCAGCAGAAGGTCTGAACATTCCCCTGAGGTCGATTACAAGAAAAAGGTTTCCATGGTCAGTTGACCCATAAAAAAAATCAAAGGTTAGTGCTCGTTATCCAATACTTTCATTTATGTTAAGCTGGAAAAATTAGATATTAGATTACAGTTTGGTTCAAAAAGCAAAATTTCAGTTCTTCTGTTAAGTTTTGAAGAAAAATCAAACTGCCTAAATGTACATTAACCAATACAACTCAGTAAAATAATGTTCTATGTCTTCACTGTCCTATTTCCATAATAAGGGTTAAACAAATTATATATGAATTTGATGTCAGGTCTGTCAAATTTCACCCAAATCTAACAAAGGAAAGGTCAGATATCATCAATTCAAGTTTTAAACATGCTAAGGTAAGTGAAGTGTTTCAGTAGCAAAAGAAAAAACAATGTAATAAGGTATTTACTGCAGTATTTCAGCTGCCGTAGCATTGATTCTGTTGCAGCTGGAAGGTATGAATGACTAGCAGAGCCGGTGCGTTCATTTGGCAGAGTTATTAAAGACATGTAGCTCATATCGGGAATTCTGCAGAAGAGGTATGGATAGATAGATGGGAGTTGCAATGACATTAGAGCTTTCTAATTGAATATACATTAATCAATGACAATACACACAACAATAGTGTTAAAAAAAGTTTAAAAAGTATGACTTCTTTTGCTTCAGCAAATTCCCTGGGTTATCTAGCCTAGTAAAGGGAGTCGGTTACAGCAAACCTTGGTGTCAAAGTGAATGCTGATGTTAAATTTGATAGATAAACGCAACTGTGAAGAAAATAAATAAATCCCATTATCTCCAGAGATCTTTTAGAGAAGGTAATCCATGCCTTTATCACTACCCGGCTGAATCACTGTAACGCACTTTATTTGGGGGTTAGTGCCTCTAACATTGCTCAACTCCAGAGAGTGCAAAACGCTGCAGCACGTCTTTTATCTGGCACTCGTAAGTATGAGATCATTACCCCAATTTTAGCCTAATTACACTGGCTCGCTTTACGTTTTAGGATTCATTTTAAAGTTCTTTTATTTGTTTTTAAGTCTCTCCATGGTCTTGCTCCATCTTATCCTTCTGAGTCGCTGCACCTTCATGCTTTCGTGCTTTCTTTGTTGCAACACCGAAATTGTGGAACGACCTAGGGGTGTAAATCACATCCATCATGGCGATTCGATTCAGTATCGATTTCCTGACCCAACGATTCGATTATTTTCGATACTCAAGAATAAACCACGATACGATTCTATTCGATTAATCTTTTTTTTTTTTTTTTTTTTTTTTTTTGAGACCTTACAGGCTAAATAAAGTTTCAAGTTTTAAATAAATCAATGAAAGCTGCAATATCGTTATGCATTTTTTTAAACAACAGCAAATAACAGAAGTAGAAAAGTTGCATCAAAAAATACTGCAAAAATACTGCACATAATCAGTGCAATGGGTGCAATGCAATACCTCGGCTCCAGACGTCCCCACCCCCTCCACAGATGCTCTGCTGCTCCTCTGTCAAATTGTAGTTGACCGCAGACAGTGCCGCAGACAGGAGGCCGGCTTGTTTTGTTTTTATGACCGAAATTGCGTAAAACAACTCGTGAAGTTTGACCCGCTAGAAGAGCGAGGTGCGCGAAAACGCTGTGACCCTTTTTCCACCTGGATCTCCGCTCTTTTTGGCCCTCATGTCCCTCCGTCGTCGGACTAAACTCGCCCCCACTTCCTCACCCGCCACCGCCTTTACAGTGACAAAGAACCGCTGCTGTTGGGGGGTTTTGTGCGCTGTTGATGTCGAAATAATACTCACTTAAAAATATATTCAGAATATTTTAAACCCACTGATAATGGCAAATATAGCAAAGCTGCTCTCTGCCATTGAACACAGGAGCAGCAGAAGGATTTGCCGCATCTGGACACACTTTACTGGACGCGCTTAAGGAGCCTCAAAAATCCACTTGAGGAGCATCAGACCTTAATGTGTACAGGCATAAAAAATGAAGCAGCACAAGCTTTTTTG